GATAATCTCGAGGGAGTGGAATAATATTGTGTTCAGTGATCACATTATCGTTAAATCAACATCAAATACTCCTTGATGTCACCGTAAGCCGTAATATGACATGGGTGTGTTGTCTAACCGCCGTCCGAACAAAGAAGCGCACCCCGGCTCTGACGGCTAACTTGTATCGTTCGATGTTCTGGGCGATGAGAACCGCCCAGGGACGCGGGTGTACGGTGTGTACGCGGTGTGGGAGAGTGTGCGGCACGTCCGTCTGCGGACTCCCTGCGTACCGTCCATTGTTAACCTAACTATTTCCCGAAACTTCGGGAATATAAAATAACTTAATTAAACGCGATAAAATCCGTAAAAGTAGTTTATTCAATATGTAGTGTTCGCGTAAATATAAGAAATCATTATCTAACAGTGTTCGTTACATCAGGTAAATGTGTAGTGTTTGAGTATGAATGACCGGCTACATTTCGGTCGTCGGCATCTAGCGGAACAGGGGGTTCGATTAAAACGTTGCGTGGCCTCCGGAGGCTTTGCGTAGCGTTCGGATCGGCGCGTAGGTACCACTAGCGGTTTCGAGTGTGTTTATTCCCTCTCGAAGTAGCGCTGAGACATATCCTTGAAATACTCAGAGATTGTTGGAAGTTGACAATCTGTGTGTAAGTCGTAGTTCGTTGGTACCACTGAGCTCCCGTGGCTATGCGAATGAATCTTTTTTGAACGACTTAGAGGTCGTACAGACGAGTATGCCTTACGTGCTCGAAAACTACGCTTGCGTAAGACATGATAGGTCTTACGCACGCTTTATATAGATGGAGTTTGTATCTTAAGGACTCTTTGCTATGCTGTTCACTAGCGGGTGGAGGCGACTAGTGACAAATTTGGCACGGTTGCGGGCATTGTGAATGTGTTTTGCGAATGTCATACCGTGGTCGAATAAGACCCCTAGATATTTGGCCGTTGATTTCCAGGGCATCTGGTGGCCGTACAGAGTGATCATACCAAACTTGAGCTTAGGGGTACTTATTTGTCGATTGAAAGTGGAGATCCTTTGAAAGCGTATTGCTAGACTTTACTCAAGATTCACTTCGATTCTTCATAAGCTGAATCAATCGCTCAGGTGGTTGACGGCTGTTTGGAGCATCTTGGTGAGGTATCTTGAATTGGGATGAGCGATGAAAAGTGCCGTGTCATCTGCGAAAAGAGCTGTATTCACTACTGGGTGCTTCGGGATTTCTTTCTTCGGGAGGGAACGGAGACTTGTGGGACTCCAGCCTTGAGGGAACGCTTTGTGGAACGAGTATCCTCTATTCGGTATCGAAAACGGCGATTGGCAAGAAAGGCTCTGATGATGCGGATGAACCTATCAGGCAAGTTGTGTTTATACAGCTTGTAAAGCAAACCGTCGAGCCAGACTTTGTCAAACGCTTTTGCGATATCGAGGAAGATGGCACGGGTTATAGTGGTTCTGCCACAACTTTGTGGGAGGTTGAATCCCTTCAGAATGTATTTTGTGAAGCGATGTAACTGGTTCGGTGCATGAGTGTTCGGATCTGAAGCCAAACTGCTCACTAATCATGGCATTTGAGCCAGATGTAAAATACTTAAATCGGCGACGGGAAGCAGCGTGCGTCATTTAATTGACTGATACTGCCATCACCAATCCAAATGTTTCCTATTACGGGAAATGCTTATGTCCGTCTAGACCAATTAAACCGTGTGGTGACGTTAAGAATACTACCCCATATTATCACTAGGACGTCGTAATAGCGACAGATGGAAACAAACCAGAATATGGGTAGCTTAATAGCTACTAATTTTTTTTTTTTTATAGGAGAGGGGGCAAACGAGCATGCGGCTCACCTGATGGTAAGTGACTACCGCCGCCCATGAACAACTGCAACACCAGGGGAATCGCAGATTAAACTTAAACTAAAAATTTTGCTGCCAACTCGCTTCCCAAGCGTTAAAAAATATGCCAAATATCCCTTTTATAAACCAATATATGGCGGAGGCTTATTTTCAGTTGTGGACTTTTAATAGGCTGTAACTGTAATGATTTCGTCCAGCAGTGGACTTTTGCGGGATGATAATGATGCAGAAAAGTTTATGTAGTGTAAGAATCTATCATTTAATCATATAATATCGTGGATGGAAAAAACTGACACAAATGTGAACGGATAGCTGGAATATTATCAAAAATTAAACACCAAGTTAGCATTTTCGAGAGTTTTCTTTTATTTTCGCTCTTCAATATTTTAATGAAAACGACAATCCCGACAGTTAGAAAGACTTCATTTTAAACTATTTACAGATTATCTATCAACAACTTAAGCATTATTCTAAATCTATATAACAACGAAAATTTTAATTAACAAAATTAGATATCACATATCTGAGGAGATACATACATTCAATACACTTGTTTATTAGAACTTTCACGACCTCAGTTGGAAATAGTAGTTAAACTTCTAAATATTCAACTAATTAATATTCGATATCAAATTAATAAAAATGAATGCTGTATTAGGTATGTTTACGAGATATAAATTGGTATTGTTGGCAGTCATTTTTAAATTTAATAAAAAAAATCAATTCCATTTTTGTAACATTCTTACAGATTTAATAAATTGTTTGCAGGATAAAGTAGCTCAATAAAATAGATTGTAATATTTCATATTCAATTGAAAAAAAAATCTAGTTTAATTAACCCCATAAAATTTTTAAATCAAGACATAATAACATACTTATCCTATTCATTTCTGATTGCTGTTTTTACTTTTTAGTTTCAAATAATAAATTATGGATACAATAAAGTTCATCTTAAATTTTTCATATTTAAGCCCTAATTTTTGTATCTCAGTGTGTTCAACTAATCCATACAATTTATATAGCTGAACAAAGTAAAGAAGAATTGGATATTAAAAACTATGTATAATAGTATAGAGTACATGTTTAAACAGAATAATCTAGCTCGGTGAGAAACATTTAATAAATTCTATAATAAAAATGATATGTAATAAAATATTTAATATTTTAAAATTAATTAAAATAAAATCTGATTATTAATATTTAAATATAACACTAAAATAACAATATAATAAAATATTCAATTTTGTTAAATTACACAGAATATAACATTCAAATTTGCTATCAGTGATACCAAGTCTGATGAGCGACTTGCTGTGGCGCCATAAGGGACACCATTACCCCATATTAAACCCATAAGAGGCTTGGGAAAAGGCAACCTAGGATACATAATCCCCAGACCGGTGACAGGTAGCGTCTAAAGTGCAAGGTTACTACGATGCCAATGTGCCTGTCAAGGGTGGTAATTACGTAAATCCTGCTCTTTATACGGGAGATATTCAAGCTCACCTGTGGATTTAACGAGCTGAATACAAAGTTAGAACAGTTGCTCTATTTATTTAAAAACTTAGTTTTATTTTGTAAGCCATCGCTATTGACCTTGCATATTATATTATCAAGGGCAAATTGTAAAACTCGCTTTTTCATAGCGGCGTTGTTCAACTACAATCGTTTGCAATTCGCACACTTGGGGAATACCCTCTGTTCATAATATATTATATTTATTATTATCTACGTACTTGATGACGTATTTATTTATTTGCTGCGCTTTCACATGCGCTAACATTCAAAAATAGATGACGCCATTTTTAAACGGGAGATTAATAATTTACACTTATGCGATATCGTTTTTGTATAAACCATGTATATGTTATAATTATGTTGATGCAACTGTATAGACTGGGATATCATTGTTTATATTTGTGTTGCCATTTGAGCATACATTTTATCTTTGTATTCCTATTATTCCCATAAAAAATTTAGCTCTTAGCTCTCTAACATATTTACCTGTAATTACTTAATATATACAATAAAATGTATGAATTAAAATATTTTTATCAATAATAAAAAAAAAACATAAATTCCGGATACCATATTTTTTCAATAAACGTGTAGTTTATTGAAAAAATATGTAACAATTTAATAAAATTATTTTTCATTTAAACAAAATTAATTGCTTATTATAAATACCGTAAATTTGAAAAACTTAAGCATGATTTAAAGCGACTAAGTATAAAATATTAATTGAAATATTTATTACGTTTTATGCATAGAGAAATAAATATTATCACTTAAAATCAACAAAACACTTTAAATATAAAAACGATCAAATTTACCATAACCATTAATAGTAGATAATTTCACAACCATTTAAATAAAAGTAAATGATAAATGATATTATTTACTAACACAAAGACAGTAGCAACAGTATTAATTGAAAATTCACATTTGTCTCTCACCATGTTCATTAAATTAATATTTAATAGTTACAATATCTAAGGTATTGTTTGGAATATTATTAAAGTATTTACAATTTATATTACAAACAAACCGTAACACAGTTCAGAATTTCGATCTGCCTAACTATTAACGTAATTAAAACTTAGCGGGCGGGTTTTGGTAATTTTCACACTCTGATACATGAGTGTATTAAAACAAAATTATGAATCATGTGATAAATTAATGTGATTCTTTTCATTATTAATAAAAGCGATCCCCGAGGACCTTTAAGCTTTTTTACCACGAGCTCTAGGAATCTGTCTGATTAGGTACAATTCTCAATTTTACCAATTTTACTGCAAAGTGAACCTAACATTTTATCGCGGTTTAATTAATAAGTGAGAAAATATTTCTAGGGTATACATTAACTCGTACTATAATGGATCCTAGAGATGTAATCACACTGATTACTTTCGCATTGTATTTGATTGCCGGTGTTCATCGAATGAACCGCGAGTTCTTTTGCTAAACAAATCTAAAGATGCATTAGAGCTGTAAAACCATTAAGCGAGAATGTATAAATATCACTCGAAAATATACCAAAACCTCACCCGCGATATCCAAAGCCTCATCTAAAAACTTTGAGCACTTCACTTCGATAGTTTATTTTATATACACCTGTCCTAAAGTTGCGTTGTCTGTCAGAGCGGTGTGTCGCGGGGGGTGTGACGCGGTGCGGGCGCGGGGGCGGGTAAGGGACGTGGAAGTGTACGCAAGTGCTGTAGAGGGATACCCGCTCCGCTTGAAGCACACGCTCCCGCTCCTCGTGGAAGCGTGCACGCACCGCTAGCGAAGCGCGCTGGTGGTGGTATGCTCGATGAAGCAGTCTAGAAATATGAAATATGGAATCTATATAATATGATATGGTGTACTATATTATACTGTGTGGCAGACCCATGCGCACCTATGTTATGGTTGTACCACGAATGTATCACGACCGGAGATGGGCTACGCTCTCACAAAATACCAGCTTAAGGCTACTGTCCTTCGTATGACGAGTGTAGAGAACCGGAGGCCCTTTTTACTGGATACGAGGAATTCCTTTATAATTGGTTCACAGGGGTACGTCTATGGGCTACAGAATCGACTTACCATCGGGTGGACTAAAAAAAAACAATAATTATTTGTACGAGCGAAGCGCCTAATTACACTAAGCAAAAATTACACATCATCATACGGTAAAAATATGAAAACATATAGGCATGAAATCCTATCATCAGGCATGTTTATGAGTCTAGATGTGTTCTTATTATAATATTTTACGGTGTTTACTAGAAATACTGTCATATTTTGTAAATTCTACATAACATATCGCACCTCCGATAAAATAGGTTTACAACTCGAAAAAGTCGAATTTTGAGTTAAATATACAGAAATACTTAAAATTTTATGAACTATCTTCACCAAAATGGTGACATCTGTACTCGCCGCTAAATGAAGTTGTAACGATACATGACTTATCTCTATTAGTGTTACATTTAGTGTTATAAAAGGTAGATGGGCTTTTGTTGAGACAAGAAGTGTTACAAATCAAAATGCAACAGTGTTTTAGACGGGTAAAATATTTTTACTTACATCAATTTATCTAATGAACAGTTACAAGTCGAAATATTACAGTTTATTGTTAAAGAATTGAATCAAACTAACTCAATATTTCTATAATAAAGTGATATATTTTGTATTGTTTCAGTATTTTGGAAGCGATTTATTGTAATATTGTTTTACTTTTCTTGATGTAACAGTATTTAACGAAAAATTTATATTTTTTGTCTAAATATTTCGATTTGTAACGTTGTTTTATAACAAAGTTTAGGTATTTTCGAAATATTTGCTGTGAATCTGATTTATGATTCTAGAGTCAAAATGAAACGTAATGACGTAATTCTGCCTTAAGCTCTTAAGGATAAAAGAAATAAACCCGCCGATTATCATCAAAAGATTGGGTGACTAAACTTGCAAGATAAGATAATAATAATAATAATAATAATAATAAATAATATATTTCGTCAAACATTAAAGTTACATTATATGATAAGTGATCGAGGTCACCTAGTAAGCAAAATAATGCCTGTAACAGGTGACTTCGCTCTTCCATAGCTAAAATTTACAGTATTACTAACGAAATAAAGTAACTAATAGGGAATAATAAAGACAGTAATACCATGATTTTATTATCCTACCTTTTCATTTGATTTTAGTATCCTAACAAGTCTCGTAGCATTAATACATTAATAAATCAATAATTAATAGGTTGTATTTCATATATGTAGCACTTACAATAAATATATTAGGTATTTGTAGTATGTGAGTTTGTACATGTTGTATGAGTAGTGTGTGTGGATGTATTAAGTATGGGTGTATGTATGTGTATATGTTCATTTTCAATTTTCCAATTGTTCTCCCGGCACGACAAATCTTAGGGTCTTAAATATCCAGATTAGTTTCCTAACTCTGTCTGTTACTTGCTCAAGTTGTGGATGCCAGGACAACCGTTGGTCCACCATCACTTCCAGGTACTTAGTTTTGTCAGTTTTTTTAATAACAGGACAAACACAGTCAGCCAATCCCGGATAGCAATTACAGGAGTGTATTTTGATTTCAAAATTTGGACGAGGTTGTGACTGGTTAAGGATGCTGTAACAAATAAAGTTCGTCTTGTCTGTATTTAAGGTAAGAAGATTATCCTTAAACCAGTTAACAACTAAGCTCATACCTAACTCAGCTTTTATCTTAACATCATTCCAATCTCTTCCTGTGAAAATAACAGCAGTATTGTCGGCATACGAAATAATATGGGCTTTATCGAGTTTCACAAAACAAAGATCGTTAATATAGACTAGTAAAAGTGTGGGGCCTAATACACTACCCTGCGGCACGCCGTACGATACCGTGACATCGTCACTCGTAAATGAATTGAGCTTAACTCTTTGAGTTCGATTCGAGAGGTAACTCTTAAAAAGAGACAGTGCAGTGGCTCTTATACCAAGTCTGTCTAGTTTATGTACAAGAATAGGGATAGAGACTGTGTCGAAGGCTTTTTTGAGGTCCAAGAATACTGACAAACATTTGTTTCCCTTGTCCACCTGTTCAGTTACAATTTGACTTAGTGCAGTTACTGCGTCCTCTGTGGATTTACCTTGTCTGAAACCAAATTGTGTAGAGGATAGAAGTTTATATTTGTTTAGGTAATTTAAGAGTCTAGTATTTATAATTTTCTCTATTATTTTTGAAATCGCCGGGAGAATTGAAATAGGTCTATAGTTACCAACTACACCTTGATCGCCACTCTTGTACACTGGGGTAATTAATGATTTTTTAAGTGATTTTGGGAATAAACCTTGCTGAAAACAGAGATTTGCAAGGTGAGTAATGATGGGAACAAGTTCTTTCTTTGCAAGTTTCAGGAAGGTAATAGGAATACAGTCCCAGCCCGGATCACTACTAGATCTTAGATTCATGATGGTTTTTTCTACTTCGTTTTCGTCAGTATCTAAGAGAGCGAATGAGTTAACTTGTGTTGTACTATTTTTAGTATAACGATTATGTCTTGGAGAGGCACTAGGTTGTATACTAGATGCAAGTATTTTTCCTACATTTGTGAAATAATCGTTAATGAAATTTGCTGGATCTTTAGGATTAGGTTTTAGGTTTATTAGCTCTTTGTTATCATCATTCTTTTTGCTACTGTATGTAATGTATTTTATATTTTTCCACAGAAGTTTATTATTATTAACAGATTTAGAAAGGAGTTCCCATTCATATTTACGTTTAAGCTTTTTGACGAAATTATTGCAGTAGTTTCTGTACCGAATGTACGTAATTTTTAATGTATCGTTATGGGGTTCTTTTCGTAGCTTTTGTTGTAACTTATTACGATTTCTTATACAACGTAAAATGCCTGGAGTGATCCAAGGCTTTATTACACGTTGACTTTTTGGAATATTTGTGTGTGTGGTGTTGGCTTTTATAGACTCACTAAGTTCAGCTATTTAACGGTCTGTTACTGTGTTAGGGTTGGTACAAAATAATAAGTCAGTAAGTTTTGATTTTTGAAGGTCTCTAATAGCTTGTGAATAATCTATATAAGTTTTCGTTCTAGTTATTATACATTTGGATGTCTTAGTTTTAGAAAGAGAAAGTAGAATGGTAAAATGTTCGGTGATTGTAGTATGCAAAACTGCAATAAATGCAGAAAATTTATTTTTGTTAAGCATAATATGATCCAGACAATTTTTTCCTCTAGTGGGTAGATTATGACCAGCATGTATACCATAGCCAGAAAGTGCATTCAAATAGTTCGTTCTATTGCTATATTCAGAAGAAGGCTCGTCAGATTTGGGGGCAATGTTCATATTGATGTCACCCGTGATGATTATATTATTATGGGTAGGTAGAGTGTCCAGCTGAGTACAAAGTGAGTCTTAAAAATGGATCTGCATTTTGGAAACGGATTTACATTTGAAGGAGAGCGGTAAATACATAGTATAGTGTTGTTAAGTATATCCAGCTGTAGACAAGAAGCATGAGTAAGCCTGACTTCTTTAACCTTATGTTGTAGAGATTTTTTAATGAAGGCCACTACCCCATCATTTTGGTTCAGTTGAGATGTTGTAGAGTAAGATTTATAACTATCTAGTATTGGAATAGGTTTGCTCATAGTGAGCCTACATTCAGTTAGAACCAAAATATCAGGTACAAAAGGTAAACTAGACAGTGTTATCAGAAAATCGTCAAAGTTACAGTAAATGCTACGTATATTTTGTGATATAATTGTAAGGTCACCCTTTTTAAACGTCTTGTATGATGATAGCTCATCATAATCGCACTCTATAGCACTAGCAATTTCAATACTATCTATCACATTCAAGTTATGTAGAGAATCACCCATTATGAAAGAAGTAAAAAGAGAAGCATGTCATTCGTATAAGTATTAGTTTTTTTAAATAAATGTTAGCAAGTAGTTTGCTTATATGTTTGAAAAATGATTTTCGAAGAGACATTAATCGTATGATTGTGTTCTGCGATCGTGTGAGTTTGTATATATTTGTTTGTTGCTGAGACATATTTGTGAAGGATTGTAAGAATAATAAAATAACAGAATTAGTATAAATCTTGAACATAGGTAAAATCAATAACAGTAACAGAGACGAATGGTATGGAAAACATTTTAAGATAAAAATTATTAATAAATAGAAAATGGCATGTAATAGCGACATTGTAAGAAACATTACAGTCGGTGTACCTTGGTTGAGAGATAAGGTTACAGGTAGTCAGATGGCAGGTGGCGCTGGGGATTGGCCTGTCAATAATTGATGTATTTGACTCTCGTTTTTAATCATAATAATACGAGAGTATTCATTTTCTCTTACATATACCTTGCCGTAAGCGGTCCAAGAGAACTTGTATTGTTTTGATTTGGCTAAGTCTCGTGCTAGATAGTATAGGCGTGCTCCTCTTGGGGTTAGGTGTTCTGACTGGTATATGGGGGTGTCTTCTTGAGTTTTAAATCCAAGATGTTTAGCACACAGCTTACTTTTATGTCTCACATTGAAGGAATTAGCAGATTTTAATATATGGTTCTTTAATATAGTTGAGTTAGTTTCGACAACAATAGGTGAGCTTTTTTTGTCAGCTGTTTTTGGCCTTACTCTGTATATGTCTTTGACATCTGATTTAGAGATGTTGTAATCAATCGTCTTCGAGAGGTTAATAACCATCTCGATAAGGTCTTCTTTATTTTCGCTAGGCTTTTGTGGGACATTTTTAATTTCAAGACAAGATTTTCTACTGTCAATATGCAATTACTCCAATTTAGTTTCTAGCATAG